GGGGTCATTCGTGAGAAGAGAAATAGATCAAACTAATTATCATCTCCGAAACACAGCAACTGATCTAACAATTCCTAAACCGAAACGAGAATTTCTTAAAAAAAGTTTTAAATATAGCGGCGCTATGCTCTGGAATCAACTCCCAAACGAAGCAAAATTGGCCGAGTCGCCCCATTCGTTTAAATCAATTGTTGGACAGCGACATGCTTCCTAATTATTTGTATATAGTAACGTGTACAGTATGTGTGTACTAATATTTAGTTTAAATTTTCCTTTTAATGATTTTTAAGATCTAAACACGCCCCCCATGGAAACCAGCTTAGAGTTGATGGGGCTAGCGTGTTCTTCCTTCTGTTAATTTTAAATAAAGTATTACCTACCCTACCCCAAGATAAGGACAAGGTTCCTCACGCTGAGAATAAGATTCCTCACGCTGAGCACAAGGGTCCTCACGCTGAGGACAAGGCTCCTCAAGCTGAGGACAAGGTTCGTCAAGCTGCGAACAAGGTTCCTCACGCTGAGGACAAGGCTCCTCACGCTGAGGACAAGGTTCTTTACGCTCAGGACAAGGTTCCTCACGCTGAGGACAAGGTTGCTCACGCCGAGCACAAGCTTCCCCAAGCTGAGAACAAGGTTCCTCACGCTTGGGACAACGCTCCTCACGCAGAGAACAAGGTTCCTCAAGCTGGTGACAAGGTTCCTCACGCTGAGGACTAGGTTGTCACGCTGAAGACAAGATTCTCACGCTGATGACAAGGTTCGCACGCTGAGGACAAGGTTCCTCAAGCTGAGGACAAGCATCCTCAAGCTGAGGACAAGGTCTTCATGCTGAGGACAAGGTTCTCACGCTGAGCACAAGACTCCTCAAGCTGAGGACAACATTTCTCAAGCTGAGGACAAGGTCCCTCACGCTGAGGACGAGGTTCCCCAAGCTGAGGACACGGTTCCTCACGCTGAGGACAAGGTTCCGCAAGCTGAGGACAAGGTTTCTCACGCTGAAGACAAGGTTCCTCAAGCTGAGGACAAGGCTCCTCATGCCGAGCACAACCTTCCACAAGCTGAGAACAAGGTTCCTCACGCTTGGGACAACGCTCCTCACGCAGAGAACAAGGTTCCTCACGCTGGTGAAAAGGTTCCTCACGCTGAGGACAAGGTTGTCACGCTGAGGACAAGGTTCTCACGCTGAGGACAAGGTTCGCACGCTGAGGACAAGGTTCCTCACGCTGAGGACAAGCATCCTCAAGCTGAGGACAAGGTCCTCACGCTGAGGACAAGGTTCTCACGCTGAGGACAAGACTCCTCAAGCTGAGAACAACATTTCTCACGCTGAGGACAAGGTCCCTCCCGCTGAGGACAAGGTTCCCCAAGCTGAGGACAAGGTTTCTCACGATGAGGACAAGGTTCCGCAAGCTGAGGACAAGGTTTCTCACGCTGAAGACAAGCTTCCTCACGCGGAGGACAAGGTTCCCCACGCTGAGGAAAAGGTTCCCCCTGCAGAGGACAAGGTTCCTCACGCAGAGGACACGGTTCCTCCTGCTCAGGACAAGTATCGTCAGGCTGAAGACAAGAATCTTCACGCTGACAACAAGGTTCCCCAAGCTGAGGACAAGGTCCCTGACGCTGAGGACAAGGTTCCTTTCGCTAAGGACAGGGTTCTTCATGCTGAGGACAAGTTTCCTCACGCTGAGGACAATGTTCACCAAGGTGAGGACAATGTTCCTCACGTTGAGGATAAGGTTCCTCACGCTGAGGACAAGGTTGCCCAAGCTGAGAACAAGGTTTCTCACGCTGGGGACAAGGCTCCTCACGCTGAGGACAAACCTCCTCACGCTGGTGACAGGGTTCTCACGCTGGGGACAAGGTTGCCAAAGCTGAAGACATGTTACCCCACGCTGAGGAGAACCTTCCCCACGCTGATGACAAGTTTTCCCGCGCTGATGACAAGGTTCCTCTCGTTAAGGACAAGGTTCTTCACGGTTGGGTCAAGGTTACCCACGCTGAGGACAAGTTTCCTCACGCTGAGGACAAGGTTCCCCATATTGGATTTGAATATTTATTCGAACAGTCACATTTTTGTGATAAAATATGAACATTTAATGAGTAAAATATATCGAGATACAACTTGAACAAGAACTGCAACGAACAATTACACGAGGCACTAAAATGGATACACCAAACGTTCGAATCAGAATGCATGACGTAATATCAGCTAATTCAACACCCCAAGCTAAGGACAAGGTGTCTCATGCTGAGGACAAGGCTCTTCACGCCGACGACAAGGTTCTTCACGCTGAGCCAAGGTTCCCCATGCTGATGACAAGGTTCCTCACGCTGAGAACAAGGGTCCTCACGCTGAGATCAAGATTCCTCTCGCTGAGGACAAAGTTCTTCACGCTGAGGTCAAGGTTCCGCATGCTGAGGACAAGGTTCCTCAAGCTGAGGACAAGGTTCCTCACGCTGAGGACTAGTTTCGTCCAGCTAAGAACAAGGTTCCTCACGCTGAAGACAAGGTTCCTCACGCTCAGGTCAATGTTCCATTCGCTGAGGACAAAGTTCTTCACGGTGAGGACAAGGTTCCCCACGCTGAGGACAAGGTTCCCCACGCTGAGGACAAGGTTCATCTCGCAACGACAAGGTTCCCCAAGGTTCCTCACGCTGAGGACAAGGTTCCTCCTTCTCATTCGCAGTTCGAATGTTTATCTACCTACTTAAGTTTTATTGCAACACCTGTTAGTTCACGCAGTTTCTTAAATTGTTCCTTTGGAATACCCTTCGTGAATAAATCAGCTAACATGCTACCTGTTGGACAGTAAAGAACAGTTAATGTTTTCTTTTCTACTTGATCTCGTACAAAATGATATTTGATGTCTATGTGTTTAGATCGTCCATGAAATTGTGGGTTCTTGGACATAGCAATAGCTGACTGATTGTCCTCGTAAATGGTCATTGGTTTATCAATGTTTACATTAAGATCTGTCAACAATTGTCGCATCCACAATGCCTCTTGAGCAGCTGCAGATAAAGCAACGTATTCAGCTTCAGCTGTTGATAATGCTACACAAGTTTGCTTTTTGCTTCGCCAGCTAACAGCAGCACCATTTATTTGAAATGTATAACCAGAAGTCGATTTCCGGTCATTTAAATCACCTGCCCAGTCCGCATCTGAAAATCCAACACAATCTGGATTAGCATTCTCTGAGTAAAGTAGTCCATAGTTGACAGTTTTTTTCAGGTATCGGAAAATTCGTTTTACAGCAGTCCAATGTTCATTCGTAAAATTTGCAGAGAACTTAGCAACATTGTTAACTGCAAATGTTATGTCAGGTCGTGTTGCCGATGATAAATACAACAAACTCCCAACTGCTGACTGATACTCTTCTTTGTTGAACAGTTCACTGTCTTCCATAGCACTAACAAGCTTTGAACTTAAATCAACAGGAGTTTCAACTGGCTTACAATTTTCCATACCATACTTCTTTATGATGCTCGCCGTGTAGGTAGGTTGACCAATCCACACCTTACCATCCTCTTGAATCACTTGTAGACCAAGAATATATTTGAGCTCACCCATATCTTTTACTTGGAATCTTTCTGCAATGCTTTCTTTGACTTTGGCAATTTTCTCATCAGTTTTACCTGCAAGGATGATGTCATCAACGTGAATAGCAACAACAAAAATATCACCGTCCTCTTCTTTCACGTAAATACAGGGATCACTTTCCGTTTGAGTAAAACCGATCGATTTTAAATGCTCATCCAATACAGAATTCCAACATCTGGAAGATTGCTTTAACCCATACCGGCTCTTGTTTAGCTTACAAACCAGATGTTCCTTCCCTTTAACTTCAAAACCTTCAGGCTGTTTCATATA